CATCCAAAAACACTATAAACAAATACTAATTACCCTTGTTGCTGCACATGGAGAATAGAGGCACATTTTGCTGCCAGAGTGGCCCATTTTCCAGCTTCCGTCTCCAACTCCCTACCCCCCGCACTGCCCGTGAAGTGCACAGGTGGCCACGCCACCCGCCAGCCGGGTCTGTCTACATTCACAGCTCTACCAGGAGGCACGCCATTGGCCCTGGGCTAGCCTTACGTCCCGTCCTGCAGGTTACTGGAGCCTCAGACTCCTCTCTCCCGCAGAAGCTGATACTGCAGTTTCTGCCTTTGGCAGGAGCAGCCTCTGATCACTTAAAGCCACAGCCCTTCATTTATGAAAAACGAGAGCCAGGCATTAGACTGATCGATTGCCACTTACTTAAGTATCAGCTGGGAGAGTGGAAGGAAAAAAACCGACCTTCTCTTCGTGGATAATGGAGTTATTTTTGGATTTGTGAGTCTTTTTATTCCCGTCTCTAATTATTCTCCCAAAGCTGTACATTAAACGAGGTCATGAACCAGGAGAAGAGCTACAGAAGTGGGGGGTACTGTCCCTGGGAACCAAAAGGACATTATCACATGAGGGGCGTTATCACTCAGAGTTTAATCTGGATGTTAGAAAACTGTCCACCGGTGTTGGAAAAAATAGTAAGTTTGTAATGCTGATTTGAGAGCTGAAGAGTTTATCATAAATTTGACATTTTTAGTCTCTCACTACGGAGCTGAGGAAGGTAACTGATGGCCTGCACTGCCACAGGGTCAGTTACAAAGGCTTTCGTATTGAGCAGGTTTTGGCCTTAACAACCAAAAACAACTCATTGCCATCCAGTCGATTCCGACTCACAGCAACCCTATAGGACAGAGCAGAACTGCCCCATCGGGTTTCCAAGGAGTAGCTGGTGGATTCGAACCGCCGACCTTTTGGTTAGCAGCTGTATCACTTAACCACTGCACCACCAGGGCTTAGTTGTATTCTAAATGCTTGATTTTTAAAATGCAGTATTAAGTTGTTCTGAAATCACAAACCAGTGAGTCCAAGCTTTGAAAATTAACAAGTAATTGGTCTTCTAATATAGAAAAGCTGAAGGAAAACCAACCCAGAGAAAACCAGAAGAAAAATCAAATACATACCTACATATGTATTTATTTATATACCTTAATCTTATAAATTTAAGCCTTATTCGTGCTTGTTTGATCATCTAGTTCAAGTTCAAGTAAGCCATCAGTAAGTTTTGTCTTTAAACAGGAAAACCTGAAGACAGCTTTACGAGATGACCCGCAACAACCCTGTAACATGTTCGGTGACCTTGCCTAAAATTCACTCTTTCTAATAGTGCCCAAGCTGCTAATAGAAACAAGAGCTGGCAAAAAAAATTAAACCACTTTTCAAATTTATGGAAACTAAAGGGAAGATTAAAAAATTAAGCTGGTATAATTTCGAAGAGTAATTTTGTGAAAATTGTCACGTTCTAGCACAAATATATACTAGGTGATATTTCTGCTTATTAAAGAGATTTTGGGGACAAGGGATTTCAGTACCTATACGGACATTTTCCCCAACTCCACTGCACTGAACCATCCTGCCTTCAATGCCTCAGAAGCCAGGTAACTAACACCTTCTAACTTTTGTCAATCACTGTAACCAGAAAACCTTGAGGTCACCTTTGACTTTGTCTAAATGGGTTGTGCAAAAGTCAGTCAGTTGTCTCTTCAGAATGTCTTGAATCCACTGCACCTTTTCTATTGCACCAACCCATTCCCAGGCTCAGAAAGCCTCCCTCACACCACCTGACAGCAGGGTGCTAGATTACTATTCCACATTCCTTATCCATAGAAAGAAAAAAAAGGGAGTCCCCAGGTGGGGACTGGATGCAGGAGGTCAGACTCCATGACTAACATGCTGGGCTCACCAAAGGCTGTTGGTCTGAGTCCACCCAGAGGTGGCTTGGAAGAAAGTCCTGGTGATCTACTTCCAAAAAATCATCCACGGAAAACCCTATATAGCATATCAGGTTGCCATGAGTTGGAATTGACTTGATGGCAACTGGTTTTTTTCTTTTTTTTTCGAATACATATAAACTCCCGTGTTCAAAAATAGTTTCCCATTGAGTGCATAAAAAAATAAACTTCACTCTTGTTCCATGGATCTCAATCATCCGGCTCCTGCTTAGACTCCCAACACCCTCTGTCCAAGTCACACATGCCATGCATGTCCTTCTCTGCCATCTTGTCGATGCCACTCTTCCTGGAATGTCTGGTCATCTCTACCTGACCCGTTAAGTAAAACTTCTGGGAAGGCTAAACGTCAGTCTTAGATCCCCCACCTCCCTCCCCCAAAGGCTGTAAATGGACATTTATCCTTCTGAAGTGGTTGGGAGTTATTAATAGTAGCAATCAACCAAACATCATTCCACACGCTGTGAAAAATAAGGAAGAGATTTCGGGCATGATCTTGCCTTCAAAGGAGCTTGGGGCCCAGCTAGAACTAGAATCCCCAGGCCTATTTCTTCGGTCATCTCCACGTGAGGGCAGCAGCACAGGATGAGGACAGAACCAAGGGTTTTAGAGGCAGACCATCTAGAGAGAAATCCTGCCCAGCCACTTACTAGCTATGTGACCCCAGCCAGGCAACTTAACTTCTTAGATTGCTCGTCTACAGAGCAGGAATAACGCCTACCCCAAAGGAGTCTGTGAGTGTTAAATACGACCTTTCACATGAAAAGTCAACCACAGTGCACGTGACACAAACTAAGCGTCAGCCCCTGCTCTGCTGTCCCTGCAGCTTGCCCTTACACGTACCCACCCTTTACTTGTCGATGGTAAGGTGCATTTTGTCAGAGATACTGATGTGCTGTTTCTTTTTATTCAGCGGCTTCTATATCCGTGTTTCTATCTTAGATGACAAGCTAATTTAGTTCTCTTCATACTGTAACATGGAACATGCCACACAACGGGGGCGGGGAGAGGGAGACGGGAATACGGGTAGAAAAAAATGCTTTCAATGCTCATGCATTAAATAGATGAAGTGCTCCAGGAAAGAAATGGACTCGCCATAATTTAATTAGGAGTCCTCTGGACAGAGGCACTCAGTCTCTGGCTGCCGTCCCATCAGTGTGTCTGCTACTGAACAGCATCAGCATCACCGGGGATTCTGTCAGACAGCTCAGCCAGGTGCTCTGCCTGACAGGTACTGTGTCTTGCGTCACCAATGGTCCACGCTGAATGCGCATGGGGCGTCTGCTGTTTCTGAGGTGAGACGTTTTTTACTTTCAGCAGACTGCTAGTGTCATTCAAAATCCCCCGATCTCCCCTTGGGAAGTACCATGAACCTGGGATCTCCAGGCTGACCTGTCCCACCACGTGGCCAGGGATTCATAACAAGCATGACTGAGAGACAGATGGAGAGTTCTGACAATGTTTCTCTTCCCCTTTGTCCCTCCACCTGGCTGGATGCCTCTACCCCTGGATCCTGAGACATATTTCTGGGTCCTTGTAATAAATTCTGCTTTAAAAAAAAAAAAAAAATCACCTTTGTTTAAGTGCTGCAGCAGGTCAGACTCCACTTGCAAAAAAAGATTTGGAGGGACTGTGCATTTTAGGGAGAGGCTGAGAGGAGTGACCTCAGTCACTGAGGCTTACCTAGGAAGGCCCCCGCCTTCAATGGAGACATTGGGACTGCGACCATCAACACTGACATTCACACTGGCTGTCTGTGGAGGATACTGGAACACTATGCAAGGGTGAACTAGCAATTAGAACAAACTGAAACCAGCATTAGTGAGTCCACTGAGAAACAGAAAGGGTGGCATAAGCTTCCAGATTCATGAGCCATTTACTAGACCTTCTGCTGTGTAATCAAGTACATTTACCCCTAAAGTGGGAAGGCTGCAATTCTTAGACTTGCAACAAAAGTTCATAGTTCCAGGATTCCTTATAATCAATCATTTTCACCCAGAGGCTAATGCTCCAAGACCATGTAGAAACGGTTAGAAATAAAAAGAGAGAGATGTATTTTCTACACTTCTGTAATGGGTATGTGAGAAGCAAAGGGTTAAGAGTATTTTCTTTTAATTGCTTAACCTTTCTCCTGATTCCGTCTTTCCTTTCCAACTGTTTTACGACAGTGCTCTGTAAACATCTGGCAATCAGTAGGTATTTGCTGACTGATTGTAAAACAGAGAGACAGAGAAGAGCAACATTCAGGTATACACTGTGACCACTATGTAGGATGCACTGTCTTAGGTGTTGGGGAGGTTTCATAAGAAAGAACCAGACTCAGGATCCTGCTCTCAATGAACTTCCTGTCTTAAAACGCAAAAACAAGTGCTAAATGGATACCGATGATATAAGGTGGGAAGTGCAAAGAAGTATAGTGCTCCTGGCATCCACGGGGCGGATATAACATAGAGCTAGGAGGCCCTGGAAAGTCTTCCTAAGAAAAAAAGGGGTGGGGGTTGGTTTTGAGCTGTCTTTTAAAAACTCAGTGGAGTCAGGATAACATGGGTGTTGGGACATAAATTTAGGTGTAAGGTGACGTTCACATACAGGACAATCAGCCCTGAAACTCACTAAGAGGTTGCCATGTTGTGGTCTGACACAGTATCTCTCAAAATATCCAACCTAGGAGTTTTTCCTTAAGTGTTGGATCTACTCTTTCTCCAACTAAGGACCTGATAAATGTTGACTTGTCTTTAGGGGGCAGGCTGTATGGGGAAAAAAGTGTCCTCAAACAATAGGATCACACATAATGTTCACAGCACAGACGTCTAACACCTGTCTTCCACCTCACATCCCCTCCTGGGCCTTTGCTCGCTGAGGGGTGCAGGCAGCAGGGCTACCCGCTCTCTTTACTCTGCGTTTTCATTTGGTTGTGTGTGTAATGAATCCGTGTACATTAAACGCAGGTGATGATACGGTGCTACTATCAGAAAGACCTGGACACGTAGGACACCGGGGGAAGAGGAGCAGCCCAATAACAACATTTGAACAAAGGATGAAAAAGTACAGGAAGTTTATGGGGGACTTTTAATTCCTAGTGCCCTAGACCTGGGTTCAAGTCCTGATTCTCCTTTTGCTAGGAAAGTTAGTTCAGAGCTCTATGCCTCAATTTTCTTATTAGTAAATTCCAGCTCATTGTGGTTTGGCTGAGGATTTAATAAGGTAATTAAGGATATCTGGTACTTAGTACAGAGCCCTAGTGGCACGGCAGTTAAGAGCTCGGCTGCTAACCAAAAAGGTCGGTAGTTCAAATCCACCAGCTGCTCCTTGGAAACCCTATGGGGCAGTTCTACTCTGTCCTATAGGGTCGCTATGAGTCAGAACTGACTCGACAGCAATGGGTTTGGTTTTTGGGTTTGTTTTTGTTTTTTTTTTTCTGGTACTTACTAAGTATTCAACAAATATTAATTCCCTCTTCCCTCTCCTGGACCTCCCTAACATACAGCAGGAGCATACAGGTGGTGACAGTAGGGTTAAAAAGGCCAGCTGGCACCAGATTATGGTCTTGTCAGTTGCCGTAGAGTTGACTCTGACTCATGGTGACCCTACGTATAAACAGAAGGAAACAGTTCCCAATCCTGGGCCATCCTCACAATTGTTGGTATGCTTGAGTCAAATTACTGACAGCTTCCTATCCCAAGTTATAAACCAGAGCTACCTAAAGGAAAGATGTGAGCCACATGTCATTTTAAATTTCCTAGTAACCACATGAAAAAAGGTAAGGAAGAAAAGATGAAATTAATCTTAATAATATATTTTATTTAAACTGATATAGCCATATTAACACTTCAACATATAAACACTAGTAATGAGATCTTTTACATCCTTTATTTTTCTATTAAGGTTTCAAAATCTGATGTGTATTTTACACTTGCAAAACATCTCAATCCAAACTCGCTACATTTCAAGTGCTCAATAGCCAAATCCATTGCCATCGAGTCAATTCTGACTCATGGTGACCCTACAGAACAGAGGAGAACTGCTCCATAGGGTTTCCAAGGAGTGGCCTGTAGATTCGAACTACCGACCTTTTGGTTAGCAGCCATAGCTCAACGTAGCTCTTAACCACTGCGTCACCAGGGCGAGTGGCCACCATACTGGAAAATAATGGAAACCCACTGAAGGTTTTTATCAGCAGAGTGGACTGCTTTGGAATGACAGTATCTGTTAGCAGTGCTTGGACAGATTATAAGGGAGAAGGAGTACAAATGTGAAGACTGGTTAAGAAGTTATTATCATAACCTAGTGGACAGATATCCACGGTCTGAACAAAAATGGCATTAGTAGGAATGGCAAAGAGTAGCTGAAGGGGAGAAACCCCGTGGGATAAAAGTTGATAGGACTTAGTGATTGATTTCATGCGGGAGATAAAGGAAAGAGGTGAAAACAGGGTTTGGGGATCAGTCCCTGGAGAAGGACGTCATGCTTGGTAAAGTAGAGGGTCAGCGAAAAAGAGGAAGACCCTCAACAAGATGGACTGACACAGTGGCTGCGACAACGGGCTCAAGGATGACAACGATTGCGAGGATGGCGCAGGATGGGGCAGTGTTTTGTTCTGCCGTACACAGGGTCGCTATGAGTCGGAACTGACTCGACAGCACCTAACAACAACAGCAAAAACAAAATAACTGGTTTTTCTCTAAATAGACAAACTAACTGTTTGCTCTATTTGATATTATATGGTTTCCAGGTTAGCTCCCTTGGTTATATTACGTAAGCCAACGCTCTAGTTGCTCCCTTCTGTATCAGCAAGACCAAAATACTATATACTACTGCAACTAAAACACTACGTAAGCGTCTCCACCTCCAACTAAAAAAAAAAAATCTGGACAGAGCTATTAAATGCTCATCAGATATAGACCTAAACTGTCTATGCCTGGGAATTCCGCAAAGGCACAGATCAAGTTTCATCCATCTTTGTTCCCTCTCCCCAAGCAGACAGCTACATCATGGTGTCCTCTGCATGAATGAATGCAGGTTTGCTGGACTGGCCCCAATGACAGAACACGTTTCACCGTGTTCTTCTTTTCAGGTATCATGTACACCCGCCTTTAAACTGTGGTTAAACAACACTAACGAGCTCGAATCATACAGCCACCCTAGTTTTCCTCTTAGATCACTCGTTTTTGTTGCTACGTCAGCAGCGGTAGCATATGTTCATCTCAACTTGCTTTTCTCAGTGAATTTTAACCAGTTCCCGAATTAATATTCCTGTAGAATATTAAAGGAAAGGAAATAAATAAAGAACATTTGCTTTGCCTTTGTTACACCACAAATTCTTCTAGGAACGGATGGAAATTCTGTAAGAGTTCCCCAGATGTGAAAGTGGGAGTTACCTCAAAAGTGTTCATTGACCTGTAAATATATCAGTCTCATTTTCCAAAGCATTAAACTAAGTACGAAGTGTGATACTGAAAGCTACGATTTGGACAAAATATTTAGAAAAGAAAAAAGTAAAAAAAAAAAAAAGTTAATGATAATATAGATCTTTCCACTGCTTTTGGTCTAACCAAGAGGCTCTTGGGAAGAAATTAAAGTATTAAGAAAATGTTACCAGCCTACATTTCTAGAGACTGATTCAGGTATCAAGTGACCTGAAAAAAAGCTTAAGTGTATGAATTATATCTGGTCTTCCGAAATCATTAAAGATATCAGAAGACATGAACAGGAGGATTATCCCGCCTCCCCACCAGGTCCTCAGTGAGAAAGGCTATTCCGAGTGGAGCTTCCTTACCTCAGACAGTAGGTGCTGAATTACAACGGTCAGCGCTTCGAACTTGGTATTACCACAGGAAAGAAGCTGCTTGAGCTGCAGGATGAATCCACTTTGGTTTGCACATTTTGCTTTGTACTGAGCCAATTCAAGTGTTTTTTCGGCGGACAGCACATCTGGAGATGTCTGCGTCTGGGTGCACAAACTTTTGGGATTCTTTGGCCTGCCCTTTTCAACTGCAAGAGAAATTAATACAGGCACTAAAATATGTGATGGGAGTTCTTATAATCACCACCACATGGGTTCACAAACAGCCTAAACCACAGAAATGCATTTAAGTTGCCCTCACATCAGGCAAGCATATGGATGAGAACTGAAAACCATCAAATACCTAGACGTTTGGAATTCATAAACAGAGACAGTGCCTTTAGTGCTGACTTTAAAAGACTGATGTGGGGCAGAGAACTGTGTCCACAAAACAAGTAGATTTAGCGACCCAGAAACATGAAAACTGTGCAAAATCACGTTGAGTTCATAGTTCAGAGTTCTCCAGTTAAACTGGTATAGAAACCAACTCTCACTAGTGCTGAGCCTACATACTGATCACATATGCTGAAAGACAAACAAATCATTGGTCTTCAAATGCTTTCCCATCTCCTACACGTTTTCCCTAAACGTCCCATCATTTCCCCACCAATGGCCGGGTCATTACAAAGATTTATAGTTCAGGCAAGTCATTTCCTAATCTCTAATAAATCATTACAGACATGGAAATCTACTCACATTCTACCCCTTATCTTAAATTCATCGCTAAGAGTACTATACTCTTGACTACACTACCCATTTTCTAGCAAACGTTAGAAAATGGATAGCATAGTTTGTTCTGGTTTGGTTTTTTTGAGGGTGGGTTTCTTTGTCAAGTAGTAATAACAGCTTAAGTTACTTTTTAAAAGCACATGCTAAAACTTCAAATCCATCTAAAATGTCACGGTAAGTGATGATTCTCGGTCTATGCCATGGTGCCCTGGGAATTACCCTTAAATTAAAATAAAACACAAACTTCTCAGTTTTGGAGGCATTCCAGATGTCTCCATCACTTTGAATATCACACAGACTTGGAAACACGGGAAATAAGCTGTTAGGTTCTTAAGATAAGTATGCCAAATAATCCAAACAAATCTAAATCTGAAAAAAAAAAAAAAAAAAAAAAAAAAAGACACTAAAAAAAAAAACGTGTCCTTAATCTCACAGGATTCCCTAAGGTGGCCACATCCTGAGGTGACGGACAACTTTAAAAGCAATGAATATTTTCTCTGATTTCTCTAGAAGAGGAGAACAATTGCAGTGATGCTTGAAGGAAAATCAACAAATAAACCTTAGTATTCATGTTCCAAGAACCCATGCCAAAATATATTCCACACACACTTTACGTTAAAAAATGAAAAAAAGCTCTCATTTTCTACTGTCGCTTCACACGGCTAAAAACAACTCACATTTGTACACGTGAAGATTCTCAGTTCTCAACTGAACTATCCGCTGTGTTTTAAAAATGCCTCAAGTGAAGGAAAAAGTATTTATCTATTCTCTTTATTGGCAGTAATTTCTAATAGTTGTTGATCGATAATGGCTACTTCCACAGCAGATGGAGGAGTCACCACGTTAATACTGCCACGACGTTAAAGTCCTGAAGGAAAAATGTAACTTTTATAGAGTCGCTTACTAGATAAATGGAAAACTAATCTAAATATTTGGCAATCTGTCAAAATACCTGTGAGATTATTATTCCTTGATTTTGTCATTTCCTGAAATGTTAGAAATTCTGTCACGTAACACATACTAGTAATTACACGAAATAGTCCCTAGAGAGGACATCATGCTTGGTAAAGTAGAGGGTCAGCGAAAAAGAGGAAGACCCTCGACGAGATGGACTGACACAGAGGCCACAACAATGGGCTCAAACACAGCAACGACTGTGAGGATGGCGCAGGGCAGGATCGTGTTTCGCTCTGTTGTCCGTGGGGTCGCTATGAGTCGGAAGAGACTCGACAGCACCTAACCACACCGACCCCAGTAATTCACTGTGTTTTACTGGTGATGGTGGGCTCTCCCTTCCACTCTCCTATGCAGTTGGTAAGCGTCCAGCATCTGCTGCAAAGGATCTCATTAAAGTGTTAAAAAGCAAAGATGTCACCTTGAAGACTAAAGTCTACCTGACCCAGGCCCTGGTGTTTTTAATTATCTCATATGCATGTAAAAGCTGGACAATGAATAAGGAAAACCAAAGAAGAATTGACTCCTTTGACTTATGGTGTTGAAGAAGAAAATTGAATATACCATGGACCGCCAGAAGAACAAACAAATCTGTCTTGGAAGAAGTACAGCCAGAATGCTCCTTAGAAGCAAGGATGGTGAGACTACATCTCACATAGTTTGGACAAGTTATCAGGAGGGATCAGTCCCTGGAGAAGGGCATCATGCTTGCTAAGGTAGAGGGTCAGCAAAAAAGAAGAAGACCCTCAAGGAGATGGACTGACACAGTGGCTGCAACAATGGGCTAAAGCATAGCAATGATCGTGAGGATGGCGCAGGACCGGATAGTGTTTTGTTCTGTTGTACATGGAGTCACTATGAGTGGTAACCGACTCGATGGCACCTAACAACAACAAGTGTTAGGCTGCTAACCAAAAGGTTGACCATTCGAATCCACCAGCCGCTCCTTGGAAACCCTGTGGGGCAGTTCTACTCTGTCCTATAGGGTTGCTATGACTCGGAATTGACCCAACGGCAGCGGATTTGGTTTTTTTTTTAATAACCTAGTTACAGAAAGTGAGGCCAAGGATGTGAAGCGCCTTGGCCTCTGACTCAGTCTCTGCTGTCCCTAAACCGTGCACGTGCACACACATTTCCACGTACGCTGGGAAGTGGGGATGTGATATAACACATAACTAAGAATAAGTATTTATGCAGTGAACTTAACAAATGTGACTGTAATACAGCCAATTATTACCTCATTACCTTATTCGGTGATAACTCTCATTTTCATACATCTGCATAAACACCCTGAAGAGCATCAACTCTCCAAGTTTGACACCATCCCTACCACGCAAGGGTCGTGCTCCTTAGCTGCTTTCTCATCTGCACTTTCCCTGGTTGCTGCATCCCCTTCAGGGGCCCTGAAGTATCAGGGTTCATCCTGACTCTGTGAGCTTCATATAACCAGAGACGCGGGGCGGGGCGGGGAAGCAGCTGCTCCCATAAAACGTAAGCTGCCCAGATACCAGGCTGCTGCTTCTCTCCGGCTTTCTTAACCGCTGCAGGATTGAAATTCAAGGGGAGGGTGACCCACACACCAGCATCAGCTCCTGAGCGTCCAGCCACACAAACTCAAATGTCACACTGGGAAGACTGCTCTGCTTCAGGTTAAAAAAAAAAGAAAAAACTAAACCCATTGCCGTCGACTTGATTCCAACTCATAGCGACCCTATTGGACGGAGCAGAATTGCCCCATAGGGTTTCCAAGGAGCGACTGGTGGATTCGAACTGCCAACCTTTTGGTTAGCAGCCTAACTCTTAACCACTGTGCCTGCTTCAGGTAGCGACAAAAACTGTCAGACTGTACAAAATACAGTTTTCAGTTTCGCCGGAGCCCAGAACCCCATCCAAACATTAAAGACAATTCTAGTTTTGTCAGCAGAATTCCATTTGCTCAAACTGATGTTTAAGAACATAAACTCTTTGTGCTAAGCCTTCCCTATGGGAGACCTCATGGCGTAGTGGTTAAGAGCTTGGCTGCTAACCAAAAGGTCGGTAGCTCAAATCCACCAGTCCTATAGGGTCCCTACAAGTTGGAACTGACTTAACAGCAACGGGTTTAAGATACCCTAGCACAAACTGGTAATTCATAGCCAGTAAGCAAGAATTTATTCTCTGGTGAGTCCTGCACATAAGCAAAATGACATCTCTAGAAGGGTTTTCGTTGCAAACTTGTCTGCAAAGATCAAAGAACGTCCCATATATCCATGAAGAGAGGACTGGCTAATTTTATGATATAGTGGAATACCACAGCTATTATAAAGAATGAAGAGCTCTCCGTGGGAACTGGTAAACAAAAAAAGCATAGTAAAGAGTAGGGTAGATACTATGCCCCCTTTGTATAAAGAAGGTGGGGGAATAAGCACATTTTCGTTTTTATTATAAATAAATAAAAAGTTATTGTAGAATAGATATGAAGGTACTAATGTTTTTCTTTTTTTGGGAAGGGAATACGAACAAGACAGATGAAAAGTGTCCTAATTATTTTTTTACTTTTTAACCATGGAGGTAAATGCTTAACCCATTCAAAAATTAAATTTAAATCGAAAAGTAAATAAATGTATTTTTTCAAGGTCATTAAAATAATTCCTGAGCACTTAAGTCTTAACACTTAATCACCAAGAAAACATAGCCAATCAGGTTTCTTCTTGCGGAATCTCAATAACGTGGGGTTTACTGTATGTGAATCGTCAGAATAGATTTAAAATTGAGGAAAGACAAATTGACATATCCATATTCCAAGAGTACACGTCTTCACATTTTAATGTAAGAACAAGTAAGCCAACAGATTGCCCTGAACCCGAAACTGGGAAAGCATGTTAATATCTCTGTCTTCTGCTCCATATACTGCGCTGGCCAAGGACAAACTCCACCACGTGGTGGCTGATGACCCAGTTTGAGTATCCGTCCCTCTCTTCACTCCTGGCTCAAGTGGAAATCAGAGATGATGCAAAAATCTCTAATGATGCTCACAGCCCTAATGATCATCAACGGGGCACTTCAAAATACCGTGAAGCCTGTGAGAGCCGGAACTCGACGGGACTGCCTGGTTTCTCCAGGTCTCACAAGTTTTCCGCCTTTGACAAGGTGCAGTCACCACCTCTCTATCACTCTCTATTTAGTGGAAAATATTCAAGTTTTCCTTCTCTGACAGGTTTCTGCCTTACACAGGTTCTGGCTTTCACAGGTTTTAGTGTACTAAAAAGCAAGTTTCCCTTAAATCCTATGGGATTGATTGTTTATGTGAAATTAGCATTATATGAACCAAAATTTGTGCTCACATTCTGCTTACTAGCATTCTACAATTCTGGTAACAGAGCTGTATTTAAAAAGTATGGAGCCCTGGTGGCGCAGTGGTTAAGAGCTCAGCTCCTAACCAAAAGGTCAACAGTTCGAATTCACCAGCCGCTCCTTGAAAACCCTA